CGCCCCCCCCCCCCCCCCCCCCCCGAGCCCTACTTCCACCAGATCTGAGATACAATCTCGCCCTCAAAGTCTAGCTTTCAGATCTACAAGAAGAAGAACGAACAGAACTCTGTGCCTCTGCCTCTCCGTTGAGTGCCAACGAACCAAACTGAAAACGGTCGTCAAACAACACCACCGAAACCCTAAAACGCCAACCCAACCCATAGCCTTCTCTTCACTCGACTCGCCGTTGTTCCACATCTGTCTTCAGCTATCCCTAGCTCTTCTCTGCCGCGGACAGAGTTGAAAACCAGGGACCTCCATCAGATCCAGATCCACCGTGCATATCGTCGAGAAAGCTTGAACCACCACTAAGTTGAGCAAAAGGAAAACGAGGAAAGGGAAAAGAGATGCCTCCGACGCCAGAAAACTCCGGACGTCGAGGAGCTGCCTTCAACTTACTGGGGTTTCTTCTTTTCGCTAAAGAGCGTCATTTTAGTGTTTTATAGTTGCATTAAGGTGTCATTACATGTTACATTTGTACATTCTGCATAGACAGGGGGCTGGAAAACACAATTAAAAGTTCTGGGGCAATTTATATGACCTTTTTTGCACAAAACATAGGTTTTGGGGCCAAAGTCCAATTATCATAAAGTTCAGGAACCAATCTTACAATCACGCAAGAATTGGTCATTGTTGGCTCGCAAGATGCAGACCGCTCGATCCAGCACCCTTGATTCCAAGCTTTGAGCTTCGACTCGAGCATCAGTCCTCAGCATGAATCTTCATCTAAATCGCTCGATGTGTACTCTTGGCTCAGCCTCAATCTAGACTACAACGGATGTATCTCAGTCGACCGCTTGGGCACATGATGCGTTGCTCGATCTGAAGCTCTCGACTCCTCCCTCTCTCATTTCTCAGATCAATGGCTTGGACGCGGCGGAGGGTCGTGACTTGAACGGATGGAGCTCGACGGTGGTTCCGGTGTGGATAGAGCTCAACGACGATGGAAGGAAGAAGACTCGAGACCAAAGCTCGGAGGAGAAGAAGATGAAGCTAAAACGCAGATTTGTTTCCAGGCGGAACCGCCAAACGTAGTCTTCAACCTGAACACAACGTTTTGACAAAACAACGATTGACCTTTATTTTAATGACCTATATGTATCTCTCTTTTAAGAAAAACCCTAAGTTTTATCTTTAGTTTCAGATCTACTTTTCTCTCTAAAAAACTTTTGTAAAAGTTTGGATCTTTACCATCCTTAAACAATTTAATCTTGTGTTATCTTGATTATCTCTTTTTCTAATCATGTTTAAGCCTAAACTAAACTATTGTTTTGAGGTTTCCATGATTATTAGTAAGTAGTCTCTTTATAAACACATGGACTATATAGGTTAGGGTGAAAGATATATGCTTTAAGATGTTTAATACTAGATTAATGATGTTTCTTACAAATAAGATCTGATTAATGCTAGAGTGGACTTGATCTCTCTATTTCTAGATCTTGGATTATTTCATCACTAAGAGGTGTTCGATGAAATGTCTGAACGTTTCATATTGTGTTTTGCTGCTTGACTGACGAGAGTTACCTTTCGATCGACCATTAGCAGATCCATTCCCATCAATTTTCCTCACCTTCTAGACTACAGCTCATAAAACAATGATAGGAAAAAAAAATTGAATCACAACAAGAAAACTAAGAGTTTACTAGGAGCTTACTTCGATTTACTACGAGCTTACTTCGGTTTTACGAGGAAAAAAAGTTTCCTCGTAAAGGTACGAGAAAACGTTTTCCTCGTAAAACCGTAGTAAAATTACGAGGAAACTACGTGGCAAAAGACCATTTCCTCGTAATCTTGTAGTAAATACTTTCCTCGTAAAGTCCTAGTAAAATCTTACTACGAAATTAGGAGGAAATGATCTTTTACTTCAAATTAGCGAGGAACTTGATACAAAATATCTAATTTAAATCTAAAACGTGTTTTGTACCTACCTTACTTAGCAATTACCTAGTAAATGCTCAGATTCGAAAATTTCTATAAGTACCACCATTTGTGATTCATTTCAAACACACCAAAAAAAATGTGGTCCGGGAAATATTTTCGAGTTGCGGAACTATATGTATTCACACAGAGATAATAACGGAGAGTGACGAAAGAATTTCTTGAAGGGTTGGAGACGTTTACGCATCAAGCAGATTCTACACCACTCACGCATGAAAGTGGTCAGATGTTATGTCCTTGTCGGAAATGTTGCAATACAAAATTAGGCCCTCGTGAAAATGTTTGGAAGCATTTAAATAATAGAGGTTTCGTGCCATATTATACATATGAGGTGTACACGGTAGAGGATACTATATATGGCCCTTCTAGGCAGAGAAGGCCTGCCTGAGTTAGATCCTCACCGACGGGACGGCCACAACATATTATGGTATGTTTTAATTTTTAAAAAGTATATTTAATATATATCTTAATTAACCAAAAATTTACAAATTATAATCTAATTAATGTTTTTATTTTTTTTCTTTCCAGGTTTGGTTTTGATGGATGTGTCGCTCAGAGCGTCACGGATTGTATCAAGGGATACTTTCCCGATTCAGCTCCAAACTGGAAAAAGACGCCCAGCCACACAAAAAGACGTGGTTCAAATCGTTCGCTGTAAATCATTAATTAATCAATTTAATTTATTATTAATTATTTAAAATTATTAATATTATTGAACTAATTACTCTAATTTTTTCTGGTTACAGGAAAAATATCGTTGGTCTATAGGGATTCACCAGCGGGTGAAGACGGAGTTTGAGGCAAAGGCAAGAGCACGATTGCTCGACATGGTCTACAACTGGAAGGGCGAGTTTCAGGTGTGGATTTATAATTTATATATATATATATAGTTTTATATCATTGACTTTAATTCAAATCATTTTGAAATTATTTTTTGTTCAGGTGGATGGTTACAAGGAGGGGAAACCCGATTGCCTCACATTCGACGTGTGGGATGGCCTCATCAGATATTGGGGGTAGCCGGACTCGGTCAGAACCTCCCAGACAAACTCCGAGAACCGCATGAAAAGAGACGAGCATGGCAACACGAAGATGCTTCACACCAGGGATCAAAAACCTCACGGGGGAATTCGTCTAGACATGGTAAATTATTTTTTAATAACTATTTAATTTTTACTTTATTTGTATATTCCTAATTAATATTTAGTTTTAAAAATTATTTTTAGGCTAAAGAGACAGGAGTTCTTCCATCTCTGAAAGAGCTTTACGAGAGGACCCACCATAACAAGGCTGTGAATTTTGTAGATCCTAGATCCGAGCGGATCTACAATCAGGTTGTTGCTCGGGTTGACCAACGCTAGACCCAGCTGACTCAGCAGTCTGGGACACCAGTCATATTATCCACTCTTGAAGTGGATAAGATTTACGAGGAGGTAAATAAACTTTTTTTTATTTTTATTATTTATTTAATTTTTTTAATGTTATTAATCTTTTTATTTACAGGTCGCCCCTAGGAAAAAGGGACGTATCGTAGGGATTAGTTTCGTTAACGATGTCTCCACAGCAACATCGTCTTATGTTCAGGAACAGCACGATGTCACTGCTCAGCTGCACTAAGAGTTGCAGGCGACGCAAGCTCATGTGAGTTCTCTCAACAATGTCCTAGACATTTTGGCGGTTGGAAATCCGCAATTGGTGGAGATGTTGCGTGTGAGACGGGTAAACGGAGGGCTTCCAACCCAACAGCATCCACCGTCACAGTCACAGCAGACAACCAACCTTGACGAGGAGGAGTTGGCGAGCCGGGACGACTTCGTTCGGCAATTTAACGACCACCATCCGTAGTTTTTTTTTAATTTTTAATTGTATATTATGAATTTTAAAACTTAATTGTATATTATTTAGTTATTTATAAAAAAAATTGTTATTTCTTTTTTTTTATTTATAATTTGGTTTTTTAATTTTTTTCAAAATATATTATTTATATTTATAATTAATATTTTTTTAATAGGGAAAAAACATTTCGAAGTAAAATCCTCGTAATATTTTCGAAGTAAAGTCCTCGTAAACTTTACTAGTAAGTTCCTCGTAAAGTATTACTACGAGTTTATGAGGAAATGTGTTACTATGACTTTACGAGGAAACGTGTACGAGGACTTTACGAGGAAAAACCTATCCACGCGTTTACGAGGAAAAATTTCCTCGTAAATTAGCTAAGACCTTACAAGGAAAAAGGCTTTACGATGAACGTGTTTGACGAAATGCGTTTCCTCGTAAGTTCCTAGTAAATGACCATTTACTAGGAACTTACGAGACAAAGTGGTTATAGTAAAGGACGAGTTTTCTTGTAGTGAATTCCGTAAGAAGAGGTGGAATCTCAAGTGGGAAATTGAATGGTGTAAAAATCATCACCTGCATCATAATAGAAAAATGGTTTTAAACACAAAGCAAGAAACATAATTTTTAGTATATTGTATGAAACAAAATGAGGAAAAACATAACAGAAATATAGATTAGACCCCCAGTGAATCATACCTCTCAGGAGATTTGAAAGGGTTATGAAGTCCATGTTTCGGACACTGAGCTAAGCTCTCAATAAACGGCTGCAACACAGAACAGAGGAAAGACAAAGTTAAAAATGTGACTGATACAGCCGTACGATTAATGGTTTTGATGGAAGATCTCAAAACTAAACTCCTGATTCCTCCACTTCAGCAACTTTAATCTTGATTCCTCCACTTCAGCAACTTTAATCTCTGTTCGAAAACGCGGCCGCCTGGGCGCTCAACGGTGATGACCCGCCTCGATTTTGGTCAAATCGGCCAAACTAATCGGAAAAAAATTAATCGGTTAAATAACCGATTAATCGCCGACACAGACCGATTTATTAAGCAAAATTTTGGACTCTGGTGACAAATAGTTGGACCATGGACGAGGCCCAATTGTCTGAAAAGAGTAGAGACCTTCTCCCTGTATTTATAGAGGACTCAAGGCTTCTCTCAGAGTGAAATTAATCGATGTAGGACAAATGTAGTTGGTGTCTAATTTTTTTTTTCCTGATTCACGCAATTAAAAATAAAAATTAACAAGCACTGCGGATGAATCGAACCCAGCAACCTCATGCCGCAACACATGAGTGTCTTACCACCAGCCTAAATTGTTTCTTTGACTAATTCTCACATGTACTAATATATATACATGTATTATTATTTAAAAATAATAAAAACTAATCCCCGCGTATACCCCGATTAATCCCCGATTTTTTGGTAACTCGCTAGGTCCGGAGTCACCGCCCGACTAGCGCCTAGCGTAATTTCGAACATTGACTTTAATGAATGGTTCTCCATTGAGAGGATCCAGAAGCTTGTTGTAGTTCGAAGACCCTTATCCACTTTCCCTGAACTATAGATACAAACCAAAGTACATCTCAGAGATTCCACAAACAGCATTTAAAATATTTAGAAAAATTTCAATTTGGTTTATAGTCATCTTCTTGTCTTTCTTGCTCCTTACTAAAAAAAATTTCAAAATCTCATGTACATAGAATAAGTAATTTCAAAGAGGAGATGGAGGACACTAGAACATAATTGAATGATTATGAGTGGGTCGTGATATTTAAAAAAACTTTCCTTTTGCACTCGACTCCGCTTCTGGATCGGCCAGCTTCTAAATTCTTGCTTATCATCATGGGATTGTTCCTTCTCAAATTGAAAGGAAAAAAAAACATAAATTAGATACATGGGTTACAAGCAACGGTTACATCTCAAAATTGAATTGATGAGAAGTAGATGAGTAATAGCAAAATCTTACCAATGATTCTTTGGATTTCTCCAAGCAAGTCGTAGCTTTTGGAGCTGGATATTTTTTTTAATTTAAATTGACTCAGAGAGAATGAAACCTAATCAATGAGAGATGAAGTGGCTATGAGAGAAACGAAGAGATAGAATGGGTATGGGAGGAGAGGAGAGATTGAAACTGAAGAATCTGGAAAGAAAGCGTTTGATATTTGCAGAGGAGATGAAGAGATTTTTCGTGTTATTGATGTGGGAGAAAGGAAACGAAAAATAACAACAGATACGGTTTTTTTGGGTTTTTTAACTGGGCTTAACGGGCCAGACAAAATATTCGGATAAAATAAAAATAAAAGTCCAACATTATCCAAAGCCGTGCTGACGTGTCCAAACGCAGACTTCTTATTGGACGATTATTTTTTATGATGTGGACACCTTTTAATATTGTATATGATATTTTGTTGAACACTAATTATTTGGTAAATCAAAAAACACTCCACCTTTTGTTGACAAATCTTTTTACTAATAAACATTAGTTGACTAACAATATTTTTTAAAAGTTGATGTTTTGACATTAAATATATCAATACTTTTAAAAATATTGGATTTTAAATATTTTAAATATATTTTTTAAAAACAATAACACTAATAAATATAACTATAAATTAGAAATAATTCAAAACAAATATATAAAAGTTTTGCATTTTCTCAAAATAAAATCTTCTATAATTTTTATTTATATTACAAAAATTCGAAAACATAACATTAATAGAGTGTTTAGTTATAAATGATTATGAAGAAATTTTCTAATATTTATGATGAATTTTCCTAATTATTTATCCAATTATATTAGGAATATATTTTATTATTTTACTGTCAAAGAATTTGTTAGTGAAATGTTAATTTAAAAAGCAAAAAGAGTAATCACTGGATGATTCTTCATGATTTTTTTTATGTTAATAATAAAGACATTGAAACAACATTTGTATAACTTGTATAAATTTGTTACCAAATTCTTTTGCATTTAATGAGAAAAAAATTTCACTGAAAAGTGTTAAAATCCAGAATGATGCTATATCAATAGAATCATGAGCAATTCATCTACCATTAGTTTTATTCCTCTGATAATCAAAAATATAAATTAAGATTTTACAAAAAGAAAAAAACGCAGAATTTTGATGATAAATTATGAAGCACATGCTAATTAGAATAATATGAATAGTTAGAAACAGTGATATAACTATAAATATTTATGAAATTTTAGTTTTGTCATTAATAATTATTTGATGTTTGATTTGTCTTTTTTGAAAATATAAATAATAATTTATTATACTGGTTTTTAAATTAATGAAACATCAACTAATAAATATTTATAAAAGAATTATGTCTGCAAGTGCGGGCAAAACACCTAGTTAGAATGATATGAATAGTTATAAATAGTGATATAATTATAAAATTTCTATTTATTAAACTAACAATATATTAATTAATTATTCAAGAATATGAATGAAAATTACATAAATTTTATTTTGAAGAAAACAATGAGAATTATATTTATTTATTCATATTTATAAGATGTTATAGTTATAATAATTTATTTTAAAAGTTAACATTCAATTACTTAAAAAAAGATGTTGATATTTTTTTGCCAAAAAATCATCAAATCTAAAAATCGTTTTATCTTAGTGACTAACAATCAATACGAAAGTTTATAATTAAAGTAGCCAACAAAATTTAAGTCTATAGTTTCAACCAAATTTAAGAATTGATGATTTAAAATTTTAAATGATATTTTTGGGACTATATTTGAAAAATCTGATCCTCACTCATATGAGAAAATGATCCCGATATTTGCTACGGGATGAGAGTCGTCAGCGTCCACCGTTTAGCTCTTCCTCCTCCTTCTCCTCTACTTCCGGTACCTTTCTCTACCTCTCGTGAACACTCAACTCTCGACCTGATTACTAATCTTATTCCTCAGCTTCCTCTCCCTACTCCACATGCCTCCTTTACCTTCTCCTCTCTCAATCTTAACCGCAATCAATCCCTAGTCCACCATCTTGTTACCTCCTTTAGTCAAAGTGTTAGTCTTTCCCCTCTTCTTTAATCGTCTTGTTACCTCCTTTAGTCAAAGTGTTAGTCTTGTTACGCAGAATCCATTTTCAGAATGTGTGTGTTGCATTATGTTTAGGCTTCCCATAAACCTGATAATTCTGAAGATGAAGCTGACCCTTCCGTTGCTGAAGGTATATTGACATTTTAGACTATAAAGATTTTAACTTTTTACCAAAAAAAAAAAGATTTTAACTTTACAACACTTCGTTTACTCTCTAGTTGAGACTTGCACAAAGGAGAAACCTTTTTATTCGTCTTTCTTTGTGTGTGTGCTGTTGTTAACTTGAGTTGTGACACTGTGTTCTTCTCTTTCTTTCTGTTTTTTGTTTCTAGGAGAAGCGGTGGGTAAAAATCCGACACGCAGGAGAAACCCCTTTGTTTCAGAAGAGTATGTGATTTACTATATCATCCTTGGTTTGGTACACTTTTGATCATGTCTATGTTATCTGTTTTGTCTACCTCTTACTAATTAACAATATGCGCTTATTAATTAATCAATGATTATTCTGTGAAGAACAAAAAGTATTGTATTGCTTTGGTGTTTCTTCCTTCTTTTATGTTGTAGGTTTTGGTTCGACATTTTGCCTCAGCTACTTGGCTTTTTCCTCTTTTTGTGGTCATCTTGAATATTTCATTTGTGTTTCTTGTATGGTCTCTTTTCAAATCGTAGCTAAGATCATTTCGATTCTGCTCTATGTGATTAAAATATGCATTGCAAGGACGGATATGAGTAAATTAGTAGAAGCTTTACGTATATCTCTTCCTTATGATGATCTTGTGCTGTGATAACTGCAGGCTTCTCATGAAATTGAAGAGATATGGATTATCTGGAGTATTGTCTTACGGTTTACTTAATACAGTCTATTACAGCACAGCTTTCCTCTTGGTGTGGTAAGTAGAACATACTTTTTGAGCATATGATCTGCATAAAGATACATGAACATTGTTATCTATCATGGAATGGAACCGTACTTTGTTTTCCGTTTGCTCTCTATTTTTCTACTCTATATGCTACATTCTGATATGTTTTGAGTACATAGCTGGCTTAAGTTTTCCTTACTACTGTTATGTGTGCCAAATTTTATTAGTAGACACAAAATCATTGAAAGATTTGATTATTCAATTATAACTCTCTTTTTATGTAATCAGTCCTTAAGTTTCTAGTTGTTCTTTGATTTTGCTCCATCATAACATACTTGAGCGAGAACAGTAATGATTGTGTATATGTATGTATAGGTTTTATGTCGCCCCAGCACCTGGAAAAATGGGTTATCTCGCTGCAGCTGAGAGGTATGACATAATCTTCAGCATTTCACAGCGTTATGGGGACGTGAAAGATTCGTGTTGCATGCAGATTTCTTAAAGTGATGGCCATGGTCTGGGCTGGAAGCCAAGTTACCAAGCTCGTCAGAATAGGAGGGTAAGTTGCTGATATTAGTTTCTTACTCAGTTAGTTCTCTGTAGCTTAAGAAAAGATTGTACTTAGTTTGTTATGATTGATGCAGGGCAGTGGCACTTGCACCTATTGTTGATAGAGGACTGTCTTGGTTTACAGTAAAATACAAGTTTGAAAGTCAGGGAAAAGTGAGTCACCCAATATTGCTCTGAGTAGTACATATATAGATGATGAAGAGTGATCTAACCTGTGGGATGCATTGTGCTTTTTAACAGGCTTTTGGTGCAATGGTTGGGATATGTCTTGGTCTAGCTTTGATGCTATTTCTCGTTGTGACACTGCTCTGGGCGTAGCACAGAGTAATAGCTGCATTTGGAAGTATTTGCGTTTACAACAATTTTGTTTTTGGTTACAACTTACAATTGGACATGATCTGATGCTCTGTTTTATTGTTGTAAGAATTGGACTTGATACAATCTTAGTAGTCTGTCCGGTTTCTTGAGCTGTGACATTATTCTCCGAAGTGAAATAACTCACTTCACTTATTGGTCCTGACTTCCAAAAACTAGCGCAGTGCTCAAAAAATCTTCTATAAGAAAATCAGACTGTGAAAGAGAGAACAAAGTTGATTCCTATTCCTTTGATTTAATAACAATTGTTGATTGTTGTAATACAATTGTGAAGCAGCCAAATAGTCTTCCTGAAGAAGTTTTCTTTAAATCAGAGAAAGCACAAAGATAAATGAGGAGGAGGTGCACAAATTAGTAGCAGCTTTATTGTGCAAATCAAGACAAGGCCATGGCGGGCTTGCTGGTACCGTTAATAGCTGGGGCAACACCGCCTCTAGTGGCCTTCACGTATGAAAGGTATTCACTATAATGCATGCTGAATAATGTACTCTGGTAACGTGTTAGATGGATTCTCCTACGCACTGATTCTGTTATTTCACCGTTGTATCCTGCTTTACGCACTAGCGAGTTTATTGCCTCCATCTTTGTCCAGCCTGAGGAATGAGTGTATATTATTAGCATAATATACAGACTCCTAAGCAAAAGTTTGTATCATCAAAAGGGTACCTTCATGAGCTGGTACCTCAGGCAAATATGTGGCGTTTCGCTTTATATTAGTCACAGGTTCAGTGAACTCAATAATTATACCATGCTTTCCCACCTTCATAGTCAAAACCAGGGAAGTTGTGTAAGACATCAGAAGAGATCCACAAAACTAAGTGAGTGGGAATATAATACGAAGTAACATGAAGTAATAGAGCGATACCTCCCAATCAAGATAGTCCTCTGCAGTTTCATAATCAGTCAGGACAGAGACCGTACATTGCAGGAATGGCAGTTCTTTGGACTGTATTGGTGGGAACCTACGATCCCTAAGGGCACTGTCATTTACAACCAATGACATTAAGGAGCTATAAGGCAAAACAGACTAAATAAAGAACACATGGTTGTTGCATTTGGTTAAGGAAATAACGAGAGAATTGGAAAATAGCAAAAAAAAAAACAATGTGAGAGTAGTAGTAGTAGTAAGGTACCTGGTCAAGGCATAATCCTTGAAGCCACTGATCAAGCGCCGTGCTTCCAGTGTACCAATACATCCACGCAAACGAGGCTCCCCACCATTCACTATTTTCTTCCAGGTCACAAACAATGGACTACAATAAGAAGAAAATATAAACTTGAGAAAGAAACAGAACTTGCATGTCATAAAATAACATAACAAACAAATAAAAAGAGGAAAAGGGTTGAAAAGAAAGAAACAGAACTTGCATGTCATAAAATAACATAACAAACAAAAAAAAATAGGAAAGGAGTTGAAAAGAAAGGCTAACTGATTGGCGTCGTCAAAGGCAGGTGGAGGAGTGTCATCGTTGTTGTAGTGAGAGACCAAAGTGTCGAAACAGTACACTGCCATCTCTCTCTTCGCCATTTTTTTTCCTTTTAAAGACACAAGAACCGCAGACAAAAAATAATTTGTAAAAAAAATCTCTGTAACGCTAAAATCTAATAAAAATTACACAAAACATAGCATTCTCAGAAAACTACGATTTTGAGATTGCTTTGGATTAAAACCAAAACTAGAAGAGGATAGAGATTTGTGAGAACTGAGATCAAAGAGATAGTGAATCAATTGGGAGAGTGACACAAGAGAGCAGGGAGAAAACCTGAGAGATAATCGAAGAAGATGGCGTTGCTAAAGCGTGTACGTTTATTAAAAAGGAAGCTTTTGATTGAGCGTACTTATTACAACTTCGGTTGCTGTGTCTTTTTCTCAAGGACGTGATGCATCACCCTACCTCTATTATTTAAAGGTTTACACACTTTTTTTATATAAAACAACAAAAAGATTCTTTTTGATATATATTTTTTATTGACATTAATTTGTTGATATATATTGGATATCTCTATAATCTATCTATACTATTATTTGCGAAATGATTTTTCACAACGGAGCTCTCACGTTAAAAGTTGAAGTGTTTAATATCGTTTATACCCTTAATGAATAAAATATATAAATTAGACATAAAATAAAAACGAAATTGATATTTATTTGATTAGATAAATGATTTAAATTAATAATAATGATAAGAATTATCCATAATCTAAATATATATTTAAAAAGAAAAAATATAATTCCTATATATATTGTGTTGTTATCCGGAAAATATATTTTAATAAAAAATCAAAAACAGAAAACACATAAATAAATACTCATAAAGAAAAAAAATGCGTTGTTGACAAAATAAATTCAAATGTATTGTATTATTATCCAAACTAATATTATTCTTCCTGTAAGATCATTTTTTGAATGTATATTTATTGATTCAATTCAATTTATCAAATTGAAAGATAAGTTTCTATATTTTTTTATCAATTGAGAAGAAATGAAACAGATTTTAGATTTTGTTTTCAAAGTTTTAAAGGGAAAAATAGATTTTTTTAATTTATGAATAATTTTATCATGTAAAAGCGTTTAATGTTTTAAGTCTAATTTTTTGGATGAAAATAATCATTTATTTTGATGATTTTTAAATTGTCTTAAAAATAATTAAGTCCGCTTGTGCGGGCAAAACATATTTAATGTTTTAGGTCTAATTTTTTGGATGAAAATAATCATTTATTTTGATGATTTTTAAATTGTCTTAAAAATAATTAAGTCCGCTTGTGCGGGCAAAACATGTTTAATGTTTTAGGTCTAGTTTTTTTGTTGAACATAATCATTTATTTTGATGATTTTTTAAATTGTCTTAAAAATAATTAAACCCGCATGTGCAGACAAAACACCTAGTATTATTTGAGAAGTCAGTTTCCTACGTATCACGCTCACGTTAACTTTCGCGATGGTTGATTACATAGATACCCTTAATGATTTGTTAGATTTTAAGATTATTATTTTTTATTTAGTTTTTTTTTACCTTTTTCCAAATAACATATAGAATAAAAATAAATATTTCTAAAATTTTAAAACAAATTTTAAAAACAAAAATATATGTATATAATATGACTTTATTAAAAAGAAAAGTTCACAAAATAGTAATACCCATTAATACATATATTTTAAAATAACATAAAATATATTTTCAAAATAATAAAAATATATATGTTCATGAACATCCAAAAAATTATCAGTTGCACTTTATTTTCTAATATTTTTATAAATCAACATATAATTTGATAAATATTATGAACATACATGTATATTTAAGTGATGAATAAAATTAATTTGATTTGACTTAACTAAAATAAATAGTAAATAAATATTATGAAAATACATGTATATTTAAGCGATAAATAAAACTAATTTGATTTGACTTAACTAAAATAAAAAGTAATTATTCTTCAATTTTAATTTAAAATATATTATATTCAATATACTCACAAAATGAATGACTCGACTAATCTAACTTATATCCAAAATTAATCAACTAACTACAATAAGAATATATAATTTTATAATAATAATATTAATATTAATAATCTATTTAGTTTTATACATATAAATTAGATGTTGACTCAAAGCATATTAAAAACGAAAAAGGAAATATTAAACAATTGCAATTTTTTTTTTAGAATTTATATACATGCAAGAGACTTCAAAATATTATCATTATATTCATTTATGTAATTTTGAATTAAACACTTCAGCTTATTATTTATTGCATTTTAAGCATAATATATATATATATATATATATATATATATATTAAGTTATACATAATAATATATTTACATATCTAAGAATATATTTACATATATAAAGACAATAACCAACCGAAATGAAAATAAGAAAATTAATCAAAGTTTTATTATATTTAGAATAAAAATATTATAGCTGAATTCAAAAAAGAAATATTATCCAATATACCAAACTGATAACCAAACCGACTATTGATAAAAAAAAAAATTAAACCGGAAATAATATATCCAAAGTCATATGTATAATTAGAATAATATAATATTTATTAATATAAATTATACATATAAATTGATTAAAAACTAAAACTAAATACCAATCAATTATTTATTTCATTTAAGCACAATATATATTAAGTTATACATAATTTAACTATAATATCACATATCTAAGAATATAGTTACATATCTAAAGACAATAACCAACCAAAATGAATATAAGGAAATTAATCAAAGTTTTATTATATTTAGAATAAAAAATATTATAGCTGAATTCAAAAAAAAATAGATATTATCCAATATACCAAATTGATAACCAAACCAATTATTGATCCGAAAAATAATTACACCGACTATAATATATCAAAAGTCATATGTATAATTAGAATAATATAATACTTATTAATATATATTATACATATTAATTGATTCAAAACTAAAACTAAATATCAATGAATTATTATAAAATTTTACTTTTATGAATATTCATGCTCGTGCATGAGCACGGGAAAATCACCTAGTATATATATATGTATATAAATATAAATATATATATATATATATATATATCTTTATTCAACTGTGGTTTAACAAGTATATCTTTATCCAAATATTAAAGTATAACAAAATATAATACAAAGATGAAAATACAATAAGATAGCAAAAAATAGTACAATGGGAAAAAAATGCCAAAACAGTTTTTATTAAAAATTTATATATATATATATATATATATATATATATATATATATTTATAGGATCAGTTAATTAAGAATTAGAATTTATGATATCAAGTTATAAAAAATTATTCTGAAATTATTAATCACAAAAGTAATCTATGTTGAATTTAAAGGTTTTATTAATCATAGTCATTTTTTAAAATTCAAAATATAACATATACGAAAAACCTATTTTATTGTATTATATAATTGTTGTGATTGTTTAATTTATTTTCATAATATAAATTTAACAAAAAAATAGAGGATACATAAATGTTTATAAATTATTTTTTCTTCATATCACTAATTTTCATATATATATATATATATATATATAAGGAAATAATAAAGAGCATTTATAATAGTTTATATTAGGTAATTTTGTAACTTTTATTTAATGAAATAATGAAGAGCATTAGTAATAGTTTATTTTCAATTTAATAAAAACAAAATATTATATATTTATATGGATCAATATTTTTTTTTCTAGAAATTTTGAGAAGCCTTCTAGTGATTACACATGTCATAGTTATAATGTCGTAATGGTTCTATTTTATTATATAGGGAATGATATCTCTTGGTCTCTTTAGTATTGTGATCACTATTGAAAATAATATAATGATGGATACCACTTGACTAAAAAGGGTAGATGTTGAAGAAAAAGTTCGGCAAAAAAAATATCTGTTTCAAAATTTCATAGCAAAATGCAAGTTTAAACATACACGTGAACAATGCCCCCACAAAGATGCAGAGCCTACCTACAATACCATTATACCATATCATGATATGAGTGAGTTATATAAGCATAGATAAATATATTAAATTAAATGTTTTTCTGCACCATGTGCAGGATAATTTTTTTTAATTTAAATAATATTAATAATATATTTTGTTAATATCTTAAATTTTCTTATTTTATATCAATATTTTAATATAAATTTAATTTAATTAAACATAAAATAAGATAAGTAAACAATTTAATTTATTTTACATTATATTTAAGAATATATATGCATATATGTAAAACTATAATCGTAAATAGGTTTTCATTTAAAAAAAGGCTTTCATTTATTTTGTTAGGTTAGAATATTTTAAATCAACTTGTATAAAACTAGAAAAAATGATAGAAGATCATAAGTTATATAAAAAAAAATAAACAAAGTTTCTAAGATTTGTAGATATTAAAAGAAACAAATGGTATTGATTAAAATTTATAATTTTAAAAAAGTAACACAAAATTTTAAAATTTTATTAGTGATAAATTTTTTATAGTAGTAGCTATGAAATATAAAGTGACTCATTCACTCCCAAGTTGTTGATCTCCTAACCAAAAGTTTACACAAGGCTTTGCTTTGATTCAGGAAATGATGACAACGAAGTGAAAAAAAAACTAAACCTCATTTTTCAAAACTCATATTAGGATTTAGTTCCTCTCACTTCATTCCTCCTTCAGCAGAAGGTTCTTATGTTTTGGGTGAGAAAATCTATGGCTAAATGATTTCACATCTCCCCACACTCTGTAATTAGAACAGCAAGCGTATGCCGGTTGTTTGGTCTAACAGCCATGTTCTCAATCTTGCGCACCACCAATAAACCATCTCCAAGCACGCTCTGTACATAAAAAAAGAAGAATTTTGCAATGAGTCATAACAATACTATAACCCATTGTGTGCATAAGGGTTCATGCCAGAGTCAGTGCCTTCTGACTCAACTATCTATGGCTGCTAAGTTCTTCCTACTAAGACAATCTCAGTTATAAACACAAAGGGAGAACCAATAATTAATCGAAGAAAGTTTTTAAGCTTCATGGTCCAATCATGCAATGTGTGGATTTGAAAAGAGGACATACCCCAAAGACAACATGCTTGTTGTCAAGCCAGTCGCATTTTGAACAGCTGATGAAGAGCTGCAATGCAAATGATAACATTTTATGATCAACCGGCTGCTAACACATCTTACTTCTTTTAAAACACTAATAGCCAAAAGGCTTAAAACATCAGGGATCGAACTCAATATAATGAGAGTGAATTACCTGACACCCATTTGAGTCTAGCTGGCCCACTAGTTGA